ACTTGTGTTCGCTTATAATGATTATACTCAATAAAAACACATAATTCAATAATAAACATTCTGCTTTATTTATAAATTTGTAGTTAGATGGTATTCACTACATGCAATTTCTCACAAACTTTAAAATTTAAACTTAAACATGAGAAAAGAGCTGAAGCTCTTTTCTCATGAGACAGAAGACAGAAGCATCCTCAAGAGACAGAAGCATCCTGTGTGAATCAAAGTTCTATGCCATGTAGAAGAGGGAAAAGGACATAACCAGCACCATATGGGAGACACACTACTTTTCTGTGCAGCTCTTTTACAGGGAGGAATTTCTCCCTTGCATGCACCTCCAGACTGTTAACATATACAATATTAAGCAGTTTTGACTCACATGGTTCAGTGAAGAAGTTACAAGTCTGAGTCTGACATACAACAACACATAGAAGACTTCTGTCTGCTCTTTTCTCCTTCACAAATGCAAAGTCCTCATTATCCAACAGGAAATAACAGTCTTTTTGTCATGACAAAATATACATCCGTGAACCAGATGCTTCACAGTTGCTCTGAACTCTTTCCTTCTCCTTCATTTTCTTTACTACTTGAGCTATAGGGTTATGACTGTTCCGCAATAGTTTCTTCAAGGACTGTAAAAAGTTTTCAAATGGGAATGCAGATACATTATTTAAGGAACAAATTGTACCACATCCTGATGTAGATGTCTCAAACTGTGCACATTGTATACAACAAATGTTGGTCCATACAAATGCTGAGCATTGTCAACAAATGTATCAAGCAGTTTTTGGGCATAGTTGAGATAGGCATTTCTCTTTCTTTCATCCGAGTCCAACATAATGGAAAGAGCAACTGTTAGCATCAGAAAATGGGTGTATAATTCCTTTGATACAACATTACAAAGCACAATGGGGCCTGTATACAAAAGGAATTGGCGGAACTCTGTAGCCTTCCATCTGTCAAGCTCTGAGAGGGATCTTGGCTGTCTAACAAATTCCCCAGGCATCTTTCCGCTAAGAATTTCCAAATTATCAGAAATTTCATTCCTCTGCCTGACAGTCGACATTTAGATGGTCCTGGCTTTAAGAAAATAATAATTATTTTGCCAACACCAAGACAAGCTAGATGCATGTAGTCAAGGCTGAACTTGCTTATCCACCCAATTCCAGCAGCAGCTAAGGGAGAAAGTCTTTGTTGGTGTTCCTTGTACTCAACGTTCTTGAATTGTTTTTCCCCTGTGAAAACAACTTTTCCCTCCCAGCTCCCTTTAATTTTGCATCTTTCGCAGCCAAAGTACGAATTGTGTCCTTTGCAGCATTTCAGATATGAGCGTGCAGGGGCATCACATATAAAAGCCTTCACAATAACATGAAATACTCTATCTTCAATGTGAATGCCATTATTGGTGAGTAACTTTAACTCCTCTAAAAAGTCACTCACATAATCATCAACTGATTCAGGCTTGGACCCTCCACAGAATAAGGCTGCAATGAAAGGCTGGAATTGGTGAAAAGAGCACAAAATAGGCCAAAATTGCACAGATGTAGATTTGAAGAGAGGAACTCCATCAACATTGATACACAGGTCTACAGAATGCATGCTTTCTTGGAATGTTTTAGAAGAAGATATGTTTTTCAGGATTCCTTTCTTTAATCCAAAGTAAATGTACTGACCACCGCATTTATCATTGATTTGCACTTTATTAGGTGTTTGTAGGAGAGTCCTGCAATCCTTTGGAAGCTTGTGCCCCTGACGTCTCAATATCTCCAATAAATCATTGAAACACTATCTTTTACAACCATGCTTAGCAGACCAAGCTACAAGTTCGGTAAATAGATTTGGCCTTGCTGGGTCAGTCTGTGCCTCATCTAAAAGGTCAGTAGATTCAGGACTGGGGTCAGTTACATCAGATTCATCAGAGTCAGAAATTTCAACCTCGTTCGAGATTTCTTCTTCAGAAGTAATAACTTCTTCAGTGTACCCATAGTCATTTGAATCCTGATGTGTAATGTCATCATTGACACAAGCACCCATATCACCAGACGATTGTTCCACATTCTCGTCCTTGGTGTCATCTATGTGAAAACTGTCATCTTGATCATCTTGATCATCACTGCTGGATTCTGCAAGAGCATTTAGCTCTGCACGTCGCTTCCTTCATTGGGATAAATAGTGCTTTGACATAAAGTCTGATTTGGTGTGCCCCCTGCGTGCTGATGTGCACCTACAGATAGTTGTAACACATGCAGTTAGTAAATAAACAGTGACTGCTGTATGTAAGGTACAATAAGGACTATGGAATATAAAATGAAATGGTATCAACTTTTCTTAAGAAAATAAAAATAGAAATATTGTCATTCAAAGAAATCAACATTTAATTACATTTTTTCAGGCAGGTGGCAAGACCCCCTCGTGAAACCCCTGTATGCAAAGCTGTGTAAATAAATTACGTACAGCACTGTTGCGTGATTCCCATCAGCAGTTTTATTTTTGGGATTTTAACAGAGATGTTCTAATGTTTACATTTATATAATCTAATTTACATATAATTATATAAGGGTATATATAATTTACATTTATATAAGGGTCAAGAACAAAATGACTGCGATGAAAATGTTGTTAAATTTAAAAGGGTGAGTAAAAAAGGTCACACTACCCAGGTATTTCCCATATATCATTGCCTAGTTAAATCTATAAAAAAAACGTTATTTCAGAGATCACACGGAAAGGAGTATAACACGTGATTATTTTTTTCCATAAAAACATATTATTCCTTAAAGTTGTCTTGCTGGGGCAATTCTAATTTCTAAGAATATCCATATATTTCTAGGAGAATCAGAGAAAATTATCATCACATACTTTACAAATCCATGGGGTACTATAACATTAAGGGTTGTTTAGCATTGATGTTGTTAATGGTACATGTTACATACTTATTTTCAATGACCCGTTGAACATGTGCTGTTTTTTCTGATTCTCAAATTAGAGAAACGGCAAAATGATTTTGCGTAATCTTCCCCTTCACACTATTTTTATGTGCCATTTTTTGCTTATTAACGTACTATTTTAATCAAAATAATATTAAGTAAGATCTGTATGTATTCAGATTGTATTATTATTATTATTTATACTTACTTGTCAAAAGAGGATTGCAGAGATTTCTGCGAATTTCTTCTACGATTGAAAAATGTTGCCAAAATGGCGACCAACGAATACTAGCAATGCAATGTGGTATATAACTGGAAAATATGCTGGGTTAGATATTTTCTCAACGTATGTGTTTATTAATGTTGTAGATATTATGGTTGAAATTTAACATTGATAATATATTGCGGCTATGTGCCCCCTGCTATGTGCTGATGTGCAATTTTAACGCATGCAGTTAGTAAGGATCGGTCACTGTTGTATGGTATTATATATAATGACATTATGGAATAGGATGGGGACAGGCATGGCGTCACTGGGGGAGGGAGGAGTGTCGCCCCTTCAGTTTTGGGCAAAAGGATTTACTTAACTTGCGCCCTAAAAAAATAGTTGTACTTTGTCAATGGTCAGACAACACTAATTGACACTAACAGTCACTCGGACTGTTTGATGTGCAGGAGTTAATTTATTTACTATATTTATTACTATAATTACTATATTTATTATACACGTGTAAATAAATTAATTACTGCGAAAATAATTTACTTCGTACACTGTGCAGATTGCTGTATAATCCTAGTTGAGGCACACACGATACATACAGTAAAAAGCCTCAGACACTGTGTTAGATGTGTTTTCGACGTTATATGTGCGTTTATTAATGTCGTTGATTTAACGGTTGCAATTCAACGTTGATTATACGTCGCGACAATGTATATATACGTAAAGCCATATTTTCGCCGTGATATATACGTATATTCGACAAATCACTGCACACTGCACACAGAGGCAATTTGCTCTGAGAGCAGGCTCAGCGCTTACTGAACGCAGATGTCTCAGAGCGGTGTGTCCAAGTGGCTGTAAAAGGGGAGCGTTCAGTTCTTGGTTATCAGTGCAGAAGAAATATTGCCTGCTGGCAAAAAAAAAAGCAAGCAATTTTTTTTAACCTGAAACTTGTGATTCAAGAAAAGTACCCACCTGCCAGTCCCTGTGGCACAATCGGTAAGCGCGTTCGGCTGTTAACCGATAGGTTGGTGGTTCGACCCACCCAGGGACAGATTTATTCTGCGATGTAAACATTGTCTCCGCAAAGGTCGACTGGATTTCTCAGCGAAACCTTAACCATTTTAATATTTGCAGGAAATGCGAGTGTTTAACACGTGTCAGAATCACCAGGAAATGTCCAATAATGCCTAACATCGCAACTTCCCAGAAAACCATATTCACCCAAGAAAAATGATAGTCTAATTGGCATTTATACTCCCGTTGCATCTTCTGCTAAAATGTTTTAAAAATACAATGCAGCTTTGTTTGAGAACTTGACAAGCATTGTTACATTAGCACTGTGCAGTTGGATTTCGATATTTTGACATATTTACCTTAATTTTAAACACGAATACTGTATAATCTATTGTAATTTTGTTGTAATATTAAAATATGTTAGCTGAGGATGCAAGGGGGTGAAAGGGAAAGGTCAGAGGGTATAGTAACAACAAGGCTAGGATTGGTGGAGGTAGTAGGAGTGTTGATGGTTTTTCTCTGTAGAGGATGATTGAGTTTTTTTATCCTTCTCTGAAGTGAGAAGCTGGAAGAGTTGGGACTTGAGGGATCTGATGAGGATAGTTATAAAAGGAAGTTGATGTGGAGCTGTTAGCCGTAAGAATTCCTTAACATCTTTGATGTTGTCATCAAAGATGAACTGCAGTCAGCAAAGATAAAAAGAAAATTATCTTTGCTTACTGCCCTGTCTTTCTCACACCTGAAAAAGGCTCCATAGCCAAAATGTTGTGTTTCCTTTCTTCTCTTTTCAGCATGGAATAGTCCTTTACTTGTTCCTTTTCAGCCTACACATGCAGGCACAGCTACCCACTTGATACTGCATATAAGATATTCGTATAATCACAACTATGAATGTCCACTGCAGGCATTTTTTCCATGATTAATTATTCTGGCATTGAAGCGTATTTTATGTCATAATCACTGAAAAAAGATGCTTTGTACATCCAGATTTTCTATATACTATAACATACCATGTTCAGAATGTCACAACACAGAAATGCAACAGTGAAGTGTCGTAATTACAAATGTTCATGATGAGTGATTCTGTCTCTCTTACCTTAGTGTTGGAATTTTAAGATGTTTTGGTAATGAGGAAGGAGGGACATGCCATGTTAACAGGGTCATATTTTAAAAATGGTTCAGTAAAATTTCCTGAAGTGCAGGATTTTGATAGTCTGTTCCATTGTCTCTCACACCTCAGTGTCAGAATTTTGAGCTGTTTTTATAACCTGGAGATAGTTTCATAGCAATAATCACCCTTTGCTCACCCTTGGTTAACCATATATTCTCATATGCCATGTTCTAAATGTCCCAAATTAAAACTGCTATATTAAAAGTTCTTGCAAAATGCAAGATTTTAAGATTTTTAATGATCAGAAGGCAAGGTCGTGGTAAATATGCAGAAAGTGCCAGTGAATTCACGTTTTGCCTTTGTCTTATTTACTCGATATTCATCAGCCAAAAATCAATGTACTTTCCAATCACTGTTGCTTCTTCAAATCCTTTAACTGAACGTTGATATTGAGGGATTATATTGTACAAATTGTGGTTTTCTTTTTAAAGCAAATTTGAAAATCTGAGGCTCTATTACAGTTGTCTTGGATGTTTCGCAAGGTATAACAGACCCCTTGCACCCTCAGTTAAACTCTTTAAAAATCTAACAAACTTAATTGATATAGAACAGCATTTAAGGTTACATGTATATTTAATTTAAGGTAAATATACAAAGATATTAAAATACAAATGTACAGTCCTAACATAATTATGCCGTCCATCTGTCTTTTTTGCTTGTCAAGTTCTCCAATAAATTTGTGTTATAATTGTAAATATTCTAACTAAGGGTGCAGCGAGAGAATAAACGAATTCTCCTGACAGCCATTCGAAGATCAAAGTGCATGGGTGAATACAATGTCCTTGAATGTTGGTCATTATTGGCCACTCCCAGTGATAATGACTTACGTACTCAATTGTTTAGTAGAGATGAGTTTTACATCAGAATAATTAGAAGTGGGCTCGAACCACTAACCTTTCAATTAACAGCGCCCAGAGACTCAGGTGTGTCACTTTTCTCCATTTGTAAGCTTTTGGTTAAAAAAAAGAAAAAAATGCCTTTTTCATGCCAGCCTGCGATATTTCTTTTGCACTAATAAGCAAGATTTCTATTTCAACTTTCGCAAGTTGTATGTATTTCATGAAAAGCAAGTTGTTCCAGAAAGGAAATGAAAACTTGCATTAAACTAAATCAAGCCACATGTGATCATGCATTCTATAAGACAAGACAGGAAGAAAGGCACTGTTTTCACTGCTATAAGAGCACTAGAAACATTTCCTGTTAGAGAAATGTTGTAAGAATAACAGGAAGTAATCAGCCACCCTGACACAATATCAACAACACAAATTATTATTATTTGACATTATCAAAAAATATAAACATATCACAAAACTATAAACTGAACCCACATAAGGAAATCAGTAAGATCACCATTAAGCAGAAACAGAACAGTTATTGGGTCCAGTTCCTTTCATCAAGCCGGTCAATGGTTATTCTCACACAGAGAGCACACTGCTGAGCAACACACTGAGGGACACAATGGAGTAAACACAGCTCAGTATCAGCACACAGAGCAAGAATATTACTGGGAACATTTGCTGGGTGAGAAACCACAGCAAGGCCAGATGTTCAGGAAGAATCACTCAAGCCCTTGCTTAGAGGAAGGGGACAAACTGTAATTACAGGATGGACAAGAGTAATGCTGGGCGATAATTCGATAACGATAATTATCACAATATAATTTTCCTCTATATAATTTTAACAAAAGTTCGATAAATGTTTGATATATATGTTTATGCCAAAATACTGCACGAGTGCGCGTGCGTGTTGCAGACCGGGCAGCTAACGTGGTATTGTTTACCCACACGGTGGTGGCTGACAGGATTGAAGAGTGGAGAAATGAGCAACACTGAAGCTAATGTAGTGCTGCCAACGACCAGCTCGAAGGACGATGACATCGTTGACAGAAAAGGTCATTCAATTTCGGAAATTTGGAGATATTTTGGCTTTTTACAATCAGACATAAAACAGAGCAGCGTGCACTGCAAACTGTGCCGCAGATCCGTGCCAGCAAAGACAGGCAACACCACGAACCTATTTCACCATTTAAAACAACATCACCTGTTAGAACATGCAGAAAGTAAAAAATGACAAGCACAAACTAGTGTTGTTAGTGGAAGGGGACCATCTATAAGCACCATGCATATTTTGACATAAAAAAGACTTGAATACTCTCTACCTCAGATTTGTTTAATGTTTCTGCTGTTTGGCAAGTGTTTGTTGTGTTCTTAAAATAAAGAGTTGTTTAAT